TTGTGACAAAAGTCTGCTTTAGGAAAGATTTAGAAAATAGACAAAGCAAATAGAGCAAAATGCAAACAGTTTTTGAGTATAGTTAGTAAATACAGGGGTGATTATTATACTAATCTTCCAACTCTTCTGCATATTTAAAATATTTCATAACAACAAACTAGACAAAAATTATCCCATAATCGTGGTTTTGTGGAAACCAGGTCTCTGGTTTTCACTTAGAAGGATATCAAGGGCAAATTTTCATCTTTAAAATGCAGATCAGAAAACAAAATAAATGAGATTCACTCATGTTTGTTATATGTGTTTAGTACACATATAAACATCAACATCATATTTGTATCACCATAATGATCGCAGCATTACTCATAGTAACCAGAACATAGGAACAATCTGAGTAGCCATTACAGTAAGAATGATTAAACAAAATATAGTGTGTACATACACTGGCATGTTAGCCTTGAAATAGAAGGAGATTCTGGACACACTCGAAAGACATTAGATTAAGTGAAATTAACCAGTCAACAGAAGGTATGTACAGCATAATTTCACTCATGATTCCAGATGAGGCTCCTAGAGTTATCAAACTCAGACAGAAAGTAGAATAGTAGTTACCAGGGCAGGAGGAAGAAGGAAATGGACACTTATTCTTTAATGAGTATACAGTTTCAAGGTTTCTAGAGTTCTGAAGATTTGTTACACAGTATGAATACACTTAATGCTACTGAAGTGTACACCTAAAATGGTTGTAATAAATTTTATAAGCATTTTACAAGTAAAATTGCAATTAAAATCAATATGTGCATAAAGATATATCTAGAAAATATATATCTAGTCACACGCACAGACTTGTTCTTTGTTTGTTTGTTTTTACAGTACTGGGGATTGAATCCAAGGCCTTTGCTCTGAGCTACATCCTCAGTCCTTTGTATTTTTTATTTTGAGACAGAGTTTCCTAGTCACTAAGCTGCCTAGGCTGGGGTCAAACTTGTGATCCTCCTGCCTCAGCCTCCCAGAAAGCTGTGGGATTATAAGTGGGCACAACCATTCAAGAGTTTCTGGGCCACTTTAACTTCCCTTTTCATTTCTGTATTGCTTGAGTTTATTTTACACATAGAACCTTCATCAGTTTTACAAAAACCTGTTTTTACAAGAAATAAAATTTCCGCAGATTTTCAGAGCTTGGAAGATGTGAGGATAGGAGAGCCTGATGTTTAGGAAAATGGATTTTCAAGAAATTATCAGTGCAGCCTGAGAAGTTTATTAAAAGCAAAGAAAATCTGTTGTCCCAGATGGTGAGTGGTTGGTCACCTCGGAGAGCTGGACCATCTGACCCCAGGCCTGACCCTGTGACCTTGCTCACAGCTGAGCCTAGCAGCAGGAAGTGGTGCCCCGGCGGAGACTCTCACCACCCCTGCCAGGGACCCTTGCTGTCTTTGGTGTCTGGCTGTCAAGGAAACAGTTTTCCTACTGGTATAGACACCGGACTGTCTGCCTGCCTGTCCTCCATGCCCACCCCAGCACCTGCCTTGCCTGACTGTACCCCAAGGGTACAGTTTATGACTCATCCTCCCAACCCGCTCCACATCAGAGCCAGGCTCCAATCCTGTCAGCCCTCTGGGTGTAATGGCTGTGACCTGCCCCACATCCCCACAGGGAGGACTCATTTCCACCTGGGCCCACTGCTGCCTTTGACCTTCTGTCCCCTCCAGTCCAGTTGCCACCCTGTGTCCTATTTGTGATGGAGAAACTTAGATCTTAGCTATTAACCCATTCACACAAACACATGAGCCACTACAGCATTTTTTAAATCTCCCCTAAAATTTATCATGAAACAACATTAGCGTGACCATATGGGACTTTGAAAAAAATGAATTACACAATTCTACTTGTTTGGCATAAAATGATACCTTTCAGTTTTATTTAAGCAACACAATCAAATTAACCTTACTATTGATGGTATCCTCTTTTAAAAACAATTAAATTTCAGAATCAGAAGATTACACAGCCCTCCATAACAATCCCCCATGTGTGAACATGAGGCTTAACCAGGGTTTACATTTTGTGATGATGGTTTGGGGTCTGCAGTTCTCAGGTTAAACTTAACTTTACTTCTGTGCATGGGCACAGCTGGCCCCAGGGGAATCATGATGGTGGCAGAGTGTCTTTCCTGTTGCCCCTTCCCTTTCACAGGTGACTGACCACAGGTTGGTGGCCCTGCTCCTACGGGGGGGTTGGTTCTCCCAGAACAGCTGCCAGGCAGTTTGCTATACTTCAGATCATGAATGTCCCCTAAAAGCCCATGGGTTGTAGCTGATGGTGCTCCTGGAAGGTGATGGCACCTTCAGGAGGTGGAGCCTGATGGGAGGAAGTGAGGTCATTGGGGGTGTGGCCTTGAAGGCGATATTGGACTCTGGCCTCTTCTTGTCTCTCTTTGTTTCCTGCCTGCCATGAGGTGAGCAGCTTTCTACTGTGGTGTTCCTCCTTGCCACTGCCCCAAAGCAATGGGTCAAGTGATAATGGACTGAAACCCCCAAAACCATGAGCCAAAATACACCTTTCCTTCTTATAAGTTGTTTATCACAGTAATGGAAAGCAAAAATACAGCTCTTACATGAGGCTGTTCTTAGAGACCTGGCATCAACTCTATTCAAAATGCATAATGGTCATAAGTACCATGAAAAGTTTCAAGCCAAGAAAGGAGGTTTATGAAAACAAAAGCAGCTTATTATAATTCTGCAGAGGCCACTCCAAGCACCTCAAGAGATAAATGCATCCAAGAAATGAACAGCCATTGGAAGCCCAGCTTGCCAGTGGTTCCCTTCTTTACTCCTATGCAGATCATGTGGTAGGAAATAGCCACTCACGGCTTGAGGGTTTACATGTGACATCTACAGATAATAAGAAGATTGACTTGTGGGCCTCCCATGAGGCTCCCACAGGTCAGGGGACAGTCTGATTGTAAAGCTTGAATCACATGTCCACTTCTGGTCCAGTAGCTGTGGTGAGGATGACCAGGTCACGTATGACCAGTGTGGCTGCCAGGGTGTTACTTCTGCCATCCTGTGGATTTGAGACATGAGGACAGCTGCCTCAGGAAGACCTTACCCCTTCTCCTGCACATGGCTGCGTATCCTTCAGAACATGGTCATTGCTTTGAGAAGCACATGGCTAGAGTATCACCAGAAGCTAAGAATATCTGTCCAGCCTAGGGCCCAAGGACTGGGGGAGGCATGGGATGGTGATGTTAATGGTGAGGGGAAGAGGAAATGCACCTCTCTGCCCCTGGGGGTATAGTATAGGTGTTTTGGGGGTGGCCCACATGTCATCGAGAGTATCTCAGAATGGAATGTGTGCATGGACACAGATTCCCTCATTTGGGAATGGACTGTGTTCTAAAAGTTGATATTAACAGTTCTGTGTTCCTGCGATGAATGTTTAGGCTCTGATGTGTCAGCGACTTAACTGGCTGTGAGGAAACAGTGGCTATCCAACACTAGGCTCCTGTGGAGTTTGCATGCATGTTACAAGAGATTAACCCCATTGTTGAGCAATTACCCACAAAATACACATTTCCATTTCTTTCTACGTTGACGCTCACCTTTAAAGATTATCGTCATTACTGTTGCTGTGTTCTTGTAAGTCACTTTTCTTTCCTGGCCTAAGCAGTATATATCTGAGTGTATGAAATGAAATTATCTTCATATCTCTGCACTAGCTCATGGAAACTCAAACATAACACTAGTAGTGGTATTTTTTGACCACACAGATAGTTATGGTCTATAATATTTTTTTCTGAAAAAAGCAAGTTTTAAGCTCCAACTTGGAACAACAAGCACACATCCTCCAGGAGTGCTCCTTAATGGAATGAGTCACAAAGCACATGTCCTTTGTTGACATCTTTTGTTCTGTTTCTGGGGTCTGGGGATGGACAGGGTCCTTGCCTGCTGGCGGGGGGGGGGGCTGTCTCACTGAACTATGTCCCCTCTCCATTCTGGTCCATCTTCATTTGTTTGTGAAAAGCTCTTCTCTCTCATATCTTGTTGGGAATTTTACTTTTTGAGATGAGGTTGCCACACCCACTCTGCTCAGCTAGCACAGTGGCCTGAGTTTTGGATTGACACTGAAATGTGTGCCAATGCGGTGGGATCCAGCAGCCTCAGACTCATTCTCTCTCTCTCTCTCTCTCTCTCTCTCTCTCTCTCT